ATGAGTCAGACTGTAGGACCCAGAGGCTTCATCTGTCTCCTCAGTGGAGAGACCAAACTGAATAACCGCAGCAGACACTAAATCTAAAACTTGACTTACTTAGAACATTAGCCTTCATCTCTGAACACATAAAGGTTTTCTCCAACTCCCCAAAGAGCCTTCCTCAGCAGATACTGAGGGGATATCCTGTTCGTAACATTACGATGCAGACATTAGTCCGTGCCTGGAAATATTAATGACAACACTTAGGCTAATTTCCATCGACGAAGCCTCATCTTCAAGGACTCTGTTCCTCTTCTTTTAATTTGGGCCTGGGAAGCTGGCCCATCAGGGCCATATAATGGAGGTGAGGAGCAGACGGCGGCAGCAGAGAGCTCATCACGCTAACAGGATGTTCTGCAGACTGATGTGTATTGGCCGTGACTGCATGGCCTCATATTCATAAGATTTAAGGACGTTGTCATTTAATATCTCTGCCATTAGAAGATGAGGACAGTTGAGATGACGAGTTGGTGGCTTCAGACTCTCTGCTGAGTCTCAGAGAGGCTATCTGTGCTGACAGTAGTTGCATCTACTGTCCAATCATAACATTATGATTAATGACAATTTGTGATCAGATGTTGTTTCTGGTTGTGTTTTAATCTCAATCTCCACCAGGTATTCACATGATTTGGATAAGTTAGACCCACATCTGGAGGACAATGACATCTGAATTCAACATTTAAATTATTTCAACTGATTATGTTTATCATATATAAACCAATCAGAGGACAGCTGAATATAGGGCTGCAAGATAGCAGGGGAAGTTACCATAGACACGATACTAACTCAAATGTGTAACCCCAAGGCTCTGCGCTCAATCTTGTGGCGAGCTAAGAGCAAATCACGTGGAGCAGCTTCAGGTCGCACTTAGTCGTCACATCTGTGAACAAAGTCATCATTACAGCATGTTAATACGATGTTTAGAAGATTGAGGCTGGTGAAACTGGTTCAATAGTTTAAAAGGTATTCGTTGTTAACTGAAGAGGTGGACAAGAGCAAACTATGAACTATTAGTGGTGCTAAATGCAAATCCAAAGAAAAAAGAAAAAAAGATCTATAGGGAACATAAAATACTCCAATAGATGTTGAGATCTTTCAGTCTGACCAAAGTGTCAAACCAATCCACGTCAGCATCTACAGGTGAACATATGAGTTTCCGCTTTATTTTCTCATAGACTTTTATACAATTGGATTCTTTTGCAACAAGTGGAGTCGCCCACTGGCCATATGAAGAATGCATGTTCGACACCTTAACTCAGTGATTCTCAAATGGGGGTACGCGGACCCCTAGGGGTACGTTGGGGTACTGCAGGGGGTACGTGAGATAAAAATAAATAAAAAGGTTAATTAAAAAAATACCATGCATGATTACAAAAATAATCTTAGAACAATAAGTTAAATAGAAAACACAATTTTATATAAAATATTCCTTGAACCACTTAGGGGGTCCTCATATAAACATGTCAAATGTATGTATTGTAGTTTATAGTTTTCATAATATATCATTTTGTTCATTGGTTTGTTAAATATTACTTCAATGGAAAAACTCCTTGGAAAAATCTGTTTAATTTGTTTTCATTATATTCTTTTTTTTCATGCATAAAGATGAAAATATCCTTAGTTTGTTGTAATTCATGCATGAAGGAGTTAATAAATCAAACACTGATGGAACATCACTATATTGTAATTATTTATATAGGCTTTTTCTATAAAAAATGTCCGGGGTCGGTCAGGGGGTACTTGGCTGAGAAAATGTTTCAAAGGGGGTACGTTACTGAAGAAAGTTTGAATAGCACTGCCTTAACTGGTTCTTGTTTTGTTCACTGTTGATCAGTTGAACGTTTTATTTGTATTTGATCAAACTGGTGATTCATTAGCACCATCATTATGTGAAAATAAACATGATCCTTTTTGTTGAAGCGTTTGGACTAAAGGGAAGAGGACTTTTACAAACAGCCAACAATCAGCCATTCATTAAAAACGACGTATTCTGTGGATCAAATCCTTTAACAACACATGATGAGCCCTGTCAAGACGACACAAATTAAAAGAAGCTTTCGTGAGAAATATGGATCAGGCTTTAATAAGTCTTGAATCGGGTTTCCTCAGATGAAATGGGCCAGATCAGCGCATGTCCTAAAAACTAAATAACTGTCCAAAGTGGGGTAACAATCAATAAAAAGACCAATACAAAGACAGATAGGGTGTCCTCAGCAGATGTTTCTTTAACAACAGTCAGAGTAAAGTTGATGGTTAGTGTTACGGTGCTTTCTGACAGCTCGGTGCTGTTTGCTGCCTGTAAAGCCTGTGATTTGCTGCAGATCTTTATCTGCACAAAGAAGATGAACGCGAGTGCTTCCTGTAACTACAGCAGTCTTCAACATATGACCTCTAAAAGTTACGAGGTGTGGATGTGTAACGGGGGTCTCTCTCTGGTCAGCGGGCTGGCGTGACCGAGAACGATCGGGGCGCTGAAGTGACAAGCGCCGGCTGTCTTTATGGAAAGCCATCAGAGACCTGTGGGCTGTGAAAAAAGCTCTTCAGCCAAATGGGCTGCATATAAAACAGGAAATAAAGCAGCAGAGGACGGCCGCAGCAGACACTGCAGCGGAACACGGAGTACGGTAGAGTACAGTACGGCACGGATGGGACTTTAGTTTAACACAGAACCGTTCATGAACACAAGATATTTCAAAATGAAGAGCTTGTTTATCTGGTGTGTTAAAGGTTATAAGAACATTATGTTTATCTCAACGACTTGATTTGGATATTGATGTTGAAATCGGCTTGTGCAAAGTCATTATCTTGTGTGTATATTTCATTTAGGACTTAATATGTGGAACGCGATAAAAAACAATCACAATACGTTGATGGAAGTGAATTTCTATTATGAAAGTGAAAAAGGGAGCCTGATTCTAAACAATACAGGAACAATCATGCAAGAAAGCTATTTATTTACGCGGGTGAAGGTATTATTTAGGATAACCTTATTAGAGATTGTTCTCTTAAAATGATGTTCACTAAACAAAGATGGGTCCTACCTGTAATACAATAAACATATTTTGGATCGTAATGATTTTGGCCAGGATAATGGAGCATCCATCCGACGCTGCTTGTGCAGAAAAAAGTGAATAACATTTTCTTAATCAAATTAGATATTTTAAATCATTTTATTTTGTGTACTACACATTTATACCACACATATTATCATGTGCTTTTTAAGTTAAATCTATATATCCTCAAGATAAGGATCCCTAAATAAATAAAGACACAAATGCTCAGGATCTCTGTGCACAAGATGAATAACTAATACTTCCATTAGTTCTATTTCAGAGATCCTAAAATGTTGTCTTTATGCAAAAAGCTGTTTGGATCATTTAAGTATTTCACGCAGTCTTCAAACTAAATCAACACCTGTGTGCACAAAGGAATATCAATTGTGTTGGATTTCTTCACATTGCACTGATGTGCAAAAAGGTCTGAAGCCCCGCTTGCTTTGCTAAACTCATTCTGATCATTTCCCTTTACAGTAAAGCTAGGACAATCAGCTATAAAGTGCCGCAGTAGTATTTCCTAAGAGTACTGCAGTACTGGGTGTACCCATGCTGGAGGACCAGAGTGTCCTCAGAGTACCCCCCCCAAGCCCTCTCCACCTCCCCACTCACTTAAGAGAGAGATGCTGCTGGTTGAGCTGATAGAGCACTTTGTATCATCCAGCTGAGTCAGCAGCTTGGGCAGAGACAGAGGAGGGAGCGGAGAGATTAAGGAGAGGAGAGAGGGTGAAAGAAGGTGAAAGAGAGGAGGAGATGAAGAGAGAGATGCTGAAGGAGGTGAAAGAGAGGAGAGGAATGAAGGAAGAGGAGGATGGACTGCAGAGGTGAGATGATATGAAGGAAGAGAAAAGGCGTAGAAATAGCAAATGATGCAGTGATTTACAAAGAGCGTGTTTCAGTCAAAAGCTACTCCAGATGTCATGGAGGCTTCAGCCATGAGAAGCAGGTTAACATTGGGTTCTGCCTGAATTCATTTCTCCAGCAGGCATCCATCTCTATCGGCTGCCACACACTACTCATGCAACTTTATTCAAAACATTTTTGTCCATACGCCGGCAGAGTTTGTAGTAACATTAGAACATGCACTTCCAGCAGCGGTTTGTGCGTAAAAGCCTTGTAAAAAATGTGGCATTAAGACAACTTTAATATTTCTTCTGGGAAGGATCCCTTAAAGTCCAAAGAACACATCATTTGCATACAAGATTAAGAATGAATCATTCCAGTAAATCTATTTCAGATACATGATCTTAAAGCATAGTCCTTCAAAAAAACTAAAATCAAGTCAACTTGAACCAGATCTGCTACATACACCCTGTGTGCACTCAAAAGGCGCTTTCACACCAAGTACTTTTCCCAGGAATAGTTCCCGGAACTTAGTTCCCCGGAAATCTTAGTTCCGGAACTATCTAGTACAGTGGTTCTTAACCTTTTTACACCAAGTACCACCTGAGAAAATAGTTGGCTCTCCGAGTACCACCCTATGACCAATGTTAAAATACAGTCTATGCACAGTTCATGCAGGACTCGGAGGCAAATGTATTCATAACCTTATTTATTGTATTTTTTACTCATCACTCACTCTCTCACACACCACAAGTGAGAATATAAAGAACAAAATAATAACGTATTCTCACACAACAAATGACAACTGTACACACATGTCCTTTCCTGGACCTATACCAAAGTGTGAATGTAGGCCTCCTGCAACCACCTACATTGTAACAGAACATGTCCTCTTGGGAATTCAGTTCCACAATAATAATGAAGCCTCCAGGAGCAGATAAGCTAAGGGCTAATAGCTCATCTTCAGTCTGCTGATGTTTGCTATTGCCATGTCTGTGGTGGCAAAGTAAAAAAGAAAATAAAAAAGATAACAATTAAGGACAAGTGTGTGCTTTTTCAGCTTTTTGACCTCGGTCACAGCCTTCTCTCCATTCTTTACGCAAATGCCTTCTTCCTGAGTCACTTCTCTCCTCCATCACAGCGGCTGTGCATATCACTTTTGCCTTGCTGGCGGAGCCTGCGCTTGTGCTCGGTTGATCGTTCGGTCGCTAATCGTTCGCGGGTAGTGTGGTCATCATTAGCAACGCCAGAAATCAATAAATACAATTTTTTTCGTTTCTCAATCTAAAAACAACAATAGCCTATTAGAACTTATTTAAACCACAGTTTCAATGATCTCAAGCTTATTTTCATTCGTTGTAGTAATTTTGATAGTATGATTTATTTTTAATGAATGTTATTCAATCAAGCCTCAAACTGATGGCACTTGTCCCTATAGCCTGTTTTAATTGGAAAGTTTTCTGAGGGTCCTTACCACCAGCTGCTCTTGCACTAATAAGTAGTGCACCTTACTGTCCCAAATGTGCACAATGTAGTGACTGCTTTTCGCCTTTTTCTTTACTTAGTTGTGTTTTCTGTGTTTTATATGTCTGTGTTATGTGTAAAGGTTCAATCAAATATTTTTAATTTTCTTTTTTTTTCTTTTTTTTTATACGTCAGATTCCTCTGCGTACCACTAGCGGGAGCTGGCGTACCACCAGTGTCAGTGTCTACTGTCTAGTTTCATGTCCTCCTCAACTCTGCGTAATGTTCATTTTGTAAATGATGGTGCTATTGATTGTAAAATAGACAATAGAGTAGTAGTGCCTCATACATGAGTATCGATCAAGATCTAGTGTGCACACCTTTAAGCCTATTAAGTTCTCTATCTTCTAAGTCTTTACTCTGTGCTGAGTGGCTCTCTTTCAGGATCTTCTCCTCTTTCTGTACAGAAACTGCAGAGGGAATATTACATCAAAAGACGTTCAAATCTAAACTGATATAGTCCGGACAGTGTTTTTCTTCCACGAGTTATCCGTTTTTGCATTGTCTTGTTTTACCAGCAGGAGATGTTGGATGTTTGCACAGAGATAACTGTGCATACATCCATCATTTCCCTGTCATGCATCATTTCCTGCCATGCACCAGATCTACTTTATTCTGTATTTATTTCTCTTTATAGTCAAATGCCTCGGTAGCGCTGTTTGTCTGATATCAAGACCAAAAAACTGAAAGGGAGAGAAAGGAGATGTAACTGTGGAAGATGAAGAGAGACAGAAGCAGGAGAGAGAAAAATACTCCCATTGGTCTGGAGTGACTTGATTAACATCTGAAAGAGTGAGAGAGAGAGAAAGAGAGCAGTAAGCAGTCTCTGCTCAGAAAACAGAGCCAGTACCATTTGCTGATGAAGACTGACGTGCTGATGAAGACTGACGTGCTGATGAAGACTGACGTGCTGTGCTGATGAAGACTGACGTGCAGTTGAAAGCCATGCAAAAATCCAGTAAAAGAGAGAATAAGCTAATCAAGAGGTTGACCTGTGTAGACATGCACATCCCTGTTATTGTTCAACAAAACATAAAGCATTATTATTCTGGCACTGTAAAGCCTTTACACGCTGCTTTCTTGCTTCGTGTATTATTTTCGCATGTCAATATATTTTAAGAACTGTTGGTTTTGTCCTAAATTCTATCACAAAGAATTTCAAACATTACGCTGCAAAAACAGGGTTAACCTTCGGAACAAGACAACAAGAGGGTTATGAGTTGAGCCTGAACTTCAGTATTAGTATTGCATAACAATGACCTGCCTCAATTCAAAACAAGGCAACAACCTCTTCACTCCATTCACCCTTGACACAGGAAGTGCAGACCAGACTCCTTCCATTGTTCACAATAAAAGCCCAACACACGTTAGCAGAGGGAACCAATTCACTCAGAGCGTTTTGCTAAAAGGAGGCCCCACTAAAATCCTGATGGTGATATATTACTATTACGATTCTATTCACTCTTTCAAAAGAACAGTGTTGCTAATTTGCATCCCTGCAGTATAGATACTTTTTTGTAACGTTATTAGTTTTAACTGTAAAACCCTTTGGTGTTGAAAGGCCTACATTTATGGACTATTGTTTATAATATCAAGCAAGTTGTAATATCACAACTCGCCTACAATCAAGTTACAAGACAAGGAAGCATTGATTCAAAGTAAGAAAGACTTCGATTTTTTCAATTAATATGTAAAAATGTTTTTCATACTTCTTCTGGGATTCCTTTCATATTTCTTCACTCTCTCAACATCAGGATAGTATGCTTTCCTTTCAAATACGATCATTTACTAAATCTGAAATATGGATTGGTTGACTGTGAAGTGATCTAAACAGATCCCTTTCAGCAAAAAAATAAAAGCTTTTTGCTATTTCTGAATTTCTGCAGTTCTTTATGTTGCTGCCTTTCACTTTCCCCAATGTGGAACTAATAAAGGATTTCTGATTACGATGAATTGGTTAATTGACAGTTCACCTTACTGTGTGGATGGGATGTGATACTTTGGATGATTCCATGTTCAACATGATGTGTGTGTTACCTTTGGAACAGGCAGGTGTGTGTTGTGAGACTCCAGGCTGCTCCTCTCTCGTCCCTCGGCCTGCAAACACATCACACTGATCAACATATGACGCTGAGAACACTGAGAACACTGAGAACACATGACACTGAGAAACATGACGCTGAGAACACTGAGAAACATGACACTGAGAACACTGAGAACACATGACACTGAGAACACTGAGAACACATGACACTGAGAACACATGACACTGAGAACACTGAGAACACATGACACTGAGAACACATGACGCTGAGAACACTGAGAACACATGACGCTGAGAACACTGAGAACACATGACACTGAGAACACATGACGCTGAGAACACATGACACTGAGAACACATGACGCTGAGAACACTGAGAACACATTACACTGAGAACACGGAGAACACAGAGAACACTAAGAACACTGAGAACACTGAGAACACTGAGAACACTAAGAACACTGAGAACACTGAGAACATAGAGAACAGGGAGAACACTGAGAACACATTACACTGAGAACACAGAGAACACTAAGAACACTGAGAACACAGAGAACAGGGAGAACACTGAGAACACATTACACTGAGAACAGGGAGAACACTGAGAACACATTACACTGAGAACACATGACACTGAGAACGCGGAAAACACTGAGAACACAGAGAACACATGCTGAGAACACTGAGAACACTGAGAACACGGAAAACACATTACACTGAGAACACTGAGAACACATGACGCTGAGAACACTGAGAACACATGACACTGAGAACAGGGGAAACAAGGAGAACACTGAGAACACATGACGCTGAGAACACTGAGAACACATGACACGGAGAACACTGAGAACACGGAAAACACGACACTGAGAACACTGAGAACACATCATGCTGAGAACATGGAGAACACAGAGAACACATGACGCTGAGAACACATGACACGGAGAACACATGACGCTGAAAACACGGAGAACACTGAGAACACATGACGCTGAGAACACGGAGAACACATTACACGGAGAACAGGGAGAACACTGAGAACATGGAGAACACATTACACTGAGAACACTGAGAACACGGAGAACACATTACACTGAGAACACTGAAAACACTGAGAACACATGACACGGAGAACACGGAGAACACATGACACTGAGAACACGGAGAACACATTACACTGAGAACACTGAGAACACATGACACTGAGAACACGGAAAACACGGAGAACACTGAAAACACTGAGAAGACATGACGCTGAGAACACGGAGAACACATTACACTGAGAACACGGAGAACACAGAGAACACTGAGAACATGGAGAACACATTACACTGAGAACGCGGAAAACACTGAGAACACGGAAAACACGACACTGAGAACACGGAGAACACTGAGAACACATTACACTGAGAACAGGGAGAACACTGAGAACACATTACACTGAGAACACATGACACTGAGAACGCGGAAAACACTGAGAACACAGAGAACACATGCTGAGAACACTGAGAACACATGACACTGAGAACACGGAAAACACATGACGCTGAGAACACTGAGAACACATGACGCTGAGAACACTGAGAAGACATGACACTGAGAACAGGGGAAACAAGGAGAAACACTGAGAACACATGACGCTGAGAACACTGAGAACACATGACACGGAGAACACTGAGAACACGGAAAACACGACACTGAGAACACTGAGAACACATCATGCTGAGAACATGGAGAACACAGAGAACACATGACGCTGAGAACACATGACACGGAGAACACATGACGCTGAAAACACGGAGAACACTGAGAACACATGACGCTGAGAACACGGAGAACACATTACACGGAGAACAGGGAGAACACTGAGAACATGGAGAACACATTACACTGAGAACACTGAGAACACGGAGAACACATTACACTGAGAACACTGAAAACACTGAGAACACATGACACGGAGAACACGGAGAACACATGACACTGAGAACACGGAGAACACATTACACTGAGAACACTGAGAACACATGACACTGAGAACACGGAGAACACTGAAAACACTGAGAAGACATGACGCTGAGAACACGGAGAACACATTACACTGAGAACACGGAGAACACAGAGAACACTGAGAACATGGAGAACACATTACACTGAGAACGCAATAACGAAAAAAAAAAACGGAAAACACTGAGAACACGGAAAACACGACACTGAGAACACGAGAACACAGAGAAACACTGAGAACACAGAAAACACTGAGAACACAACACATGCAGCTGAGAACACTGAGAACATGGAGAACACATGACGCTGAGAACACTGAGAACCCGGAGAACACATGACGCTGAGAACACTGAGAACACGGAAAACACGACACTGAGAACACGGAGAACACTGAGAACACATCATGCTGAGAACATGGAGAACACAGAGAACACATGACGCTGAGAACACATGACACCGAGAACACATGACGCTGAAAACACTGAGAACACATGACGCTGAGAACACGGAGAACACATTACACTGAGAACACGGAGAACACGGAGAACACTGAGAACATGGAGAACACATTACACTGAGAACACGGAAAACACGGAGAACACTGAGAACACATGACGCTGAGAACACGGAGAACACATTACACTGAGAACACGGAGAACACATTACACTGAGAACACGGAGAACACATGACACTGAGAACACGGAAAACACGGAGAACAGGGAGAACACTGAGAACATGGAGAACACATTACACTGAGAACACGGAGAACACTGAGAACACATGACGCTGAGAACACATTACACTGAGAACACGGAGAACACATGACACTGAGAACACGGAGAACACGGAGAACACATGACACTGAGAACACGGAGGAAACACATTACACTGAGAAACACGGAGAAACACATGACACTGAGAACACGGAGGAACAGGGAGAAACACTGAGAACATGGAGAACACATTACCACTGAGAACACGGGAAAACACGGAGAACACTTGAGAACACATGACGCTAGAACACGAAGAACACATTACACTGAGAACACGGAGAACATATGACACTAGAGAACACGGAGAACACATGACACTGAGAACAAGGACACACGTAGACACTGACGAACCCATGACACTGAGACACATTACACTGCGAACACGGAGAACACAGAGAACACTAAGAACACTTAGACTGGAACACTGAGAACATAGAGAACAGGGAGGAACCACTGAGAACACATTACACTGAGAACACAGAGAACACTAAGAACACTGAGAACACAGAGAACAGGGAGAACACTGAGAACACATTACACTGAGAACACGGAGAACACATTACACTGAGAACACATGACACTGAGAACGCGCAAAACACTGAGAACACAGAGAACACTGAGAACACAGAAAACACTGAGAACACAGAGAGCACATGCAGCTGAGAACACGGAAAACACGGAGAACACTGAAAACACTGAGAACACTGAGAACACTGAAAACACTGAGAACACATGACGCTGAGAACACGGAGAACACATGACACTGAAAACACGGAGAACACTGAAAACACTGAGAAGACATGATGCTGAGAACACGGAGAACACTGAGAACACAGAGAACAGGGAGAACACATTACACTGAGAACACGGAGAAACAGAGAACACAGAGAACACAGAGAACACAGAGAACACAGAGAACACAGAGAACACAGAGAACACAGAGAACACAGAGAACACAGAGACACAGAGAACACAGAGAACACTGAGAACACTGAGAACACAGAGAACACTGAGAACACTGAGAACACTGAGAACACTGAGAACACTGAGAACACTGAGAACACTGAGAACACAGAGAACAGGGAGAACACTGAGAACACATTACACTGAGAACACATGACACTGAGAACGCGGAAAACACTGAGAACACAGAGAACACATGCTGAGAACACTGAGAACACATGACACTGAGAACACATGACGCTGAGAACACTGAGAACACATGACGCTGAGAACACTGAGAAGACATGACACTGAGAACACGGGAGAACACATGACGCTGAGAACACTGAGAACACATGACGCTGAGAACACTGAGAAGACATGACACTGAGAACAGGGGAAACAAGGAGAACACTGAGAACACATGACGCTGAGAACACTGAGAACACATGACACGGAGAACACTGAGAACACGGAAAACACGACACTGAGAACTGAGAACACATCATGCTGAGAACATGGAGAACACAGAGAACACATGACGCTGAGAACACATGACACGGAGAACACATGACGCTGAAAACACGGAGAACACTGAGAACACATGACGCTGAGAACACGGAGAACACATTACACGGAGAACAGGGAGAACACTGAGAACATGGAGAACACTGAGAACACATTACACTGAGAACACGGAGAACACATTACACTGAGAACACGGAGAACACTGAAAACACTGAGAACACATGACACGGAGAACACATTACACTGAGAACACTGAGAACACATGACACTGAGAACACATTACACTGAGAACACTGAGAACACATGACACTGAGAACACGGAAAACACGGAGAACACTGAAAACACTGAGAAGACATGACGCTGAGAACACGGAGAACACATTACACTGAGAACACGGAGAACACAGAGAACACTGAGAACATGGAGAACACATTACACTGAGAACGCGGAAAACACTGAGAACACGGAAAACACGACACCTGAGAAACACGGGAGAACACAGAGAACCACTGAAAAACACAGAAAACACTGAGAACACAGAGAACACATGCAGCTGAGAACACTGAGAACATGGAGAACACATGACACTGAGAACACGGAAAACACGACACTGAGAACACGGAGAACACTGAGAACACATCATGCTGAGAACATGGAGAACACAGAGAACACATGACGCTGAGAACACATGACACCGAGAACACATGACGCTGAAAACACTGAGAACACATGACGCTGGAACACATGACGCTGAGAACACGGAGAACACATTACACTGAGAACACGGAGAACAGGGAGAACACTGAGAACATGGAGAACACATTACACTGAGAACACGGAGAACACTGAGAACACATGACACTGAGAACACGGAGAACACATTACACTGAGAACACGGAGAACACATGACACTGAGAACACGGAGAACACATTACACTGAGAACACGGAGAACACATTACACTGAGAACACGGAAGAACACATGACACTGAGAACCGAACGGAAAACACGGAGAACACGGAGAACAGGGAGAACACTGAGAACATGGAGAACACATTACACTGAGAACACGGAGAACACTGAGAACACATGACGCTGAGAACACGGAGAACACATTACACTGAGAACACGGAGAACACATGACACTGAGAACACGGAGAACACGGAACACATGACACTGAGAACACGGAGAACACATTACACTGAGAACTGAGAACACTGAGAACACGGAGAACAGGGAGAACACTGAGAACATGGAGAACACATTACACTGAGAACACGGAAAACACGGAGAACACTGAGAACACATGACGCTGAGAACACGAAGAACACATTACACTGAGAACACGGAGAACATATGACACTGAGAACACGGAGAACACATGACACTGAGAACACGGAGAACACTGAGAACCCATGACACTGAGAACACGGAGAACACATTACACTGAGAACACGGAGAACACATGACACTGAGAACACGGAAAACACTGAAAACACTGAGAAGACATAACGCTGAGAACACGGAGAATACATTACACTGAGAACCACGGAAAACACTGAAAACACTGAGAAGACATAATGCTGAGAACATGGAGAACACATTACACTGAGAACGCGGAAAACACGGAGAACACTGAGAACACTGAGAACACAGAAAACACTGAGAACATGGAGAACACATGACGCTGAGAACACTGAGAACACATGACACGGAGAACACTGAGAACACGGAAAACACATGACGCTGAGAACACTGAGAACACATGACGCTGAGAACACGGAGAACACAGAGAACACTGAGAACACATGACACGGAGAACACTGAGAACACGGAAAAACCACATGACGCTGAGAACACTGAGAACACAGAGAACACTGAGAACACTGAGAACACATGACGCTGAGGAACACTGAGAAAACTCTAGAAAGCAGAAGGTTAGTCGTACACCACCACCAGAGGCTTTCCGGATGCCCAGACGGACCCTTCCGGGGGGGGCAGACTTCAGGACCTCCACAGCCTGGCCCAGCGTGAGCAGGTCCAGTTGGGTGTGGTTGACTGACACCAGCTGGTCTCCAGGGAGCAAAGCACCCAGACGATCTGCAGAACCCCCCGCAAACCAGAGAGCGGATCACCATCACACAGCGGCCGGGGTCCAGAGGGTCCTGGAGAGATAAATAACGTAAGAGAGATTAATAAAATGATAAGCACACTAGGCCCTGTGAAACTGTGCTGAAGATCTGAGGCTCCTTTCAAATCCCTTCTTAAAACTAAACCTTTTTATTTATGCCATATTGTATTTCAATTGATTCTTATCTTCTTATTGTTTTGTTACATATTGTCTTTTATTTTGTTATATTACTTTTGAGTATTTTATTTTCTTTACTTTCTGAAATGCATTGCAATCCTGACATGTTTTGTTCCTGGTTTTTTGTTTTGAAATGTGCAGTGTGAATAAAGTTGATTATTGGGTCCCACTTCTTTGACCTCAGTGAAAAATGACACATCTGTCCACCAGCACATGTGCTCTGACGGAGGACATTCTTACAGGTATGTCTCTGGTAAACTCAAAAGACATGTTGAGATGTTACTGTATATGATCAGTTGGACTGCAGAGTATCAACACGCTTTTTGTGTGTTTTTGGCATTTTTCACTTATTCCTTTCTTTTTTAAATGCTTGAAAACAAATAATAAATTGAAGTTGATGTAAGCTTCCCCTTCTGTTTCACGAAGGTAAACGTGATTAAAAACCCACGCAAGAAAGATGAAAATGAACAATCCCACACTTTGGACCCCTGAGCTAAAGACCCCCGAACAACCTTCAGGGGACATAACCTTCAGAACGAGTCTCAGCAAAGAGAGGCAGGCAGGGGGAGACAGAGACCAGAGAATTCACAGGACATCCATCCATACAAACACAACACAAACATGCAGGGGGTGGGGGGTTGTGGGGGTAATGGAAGAAAAAGGAATCATATATTTATTGAACCAACAGTGAGGAGGTCAAAGATCGCAGAACGCTAACAAGAGACCGAGGAATCAGAGATGAAGATGTGAACAGAGAGATATATCCAAGAAAGAAAAAAACTATTCAAAATGTAGAAATGTAGATTTTAGAGTGCAGGGCTTTAAAAGGAGGACTGGAACATCGATGCGCTAACAGTGAAATACAGCCTTCACCCAGCAGCAGGTCAGCGGCTCAGATTTAAAGAAACAACATGAGAGTATATTTCCAAACAGCTCTCAGTAGTTCCAAATATCATCTAACATCTACACAAACACACAGTGAATTCTTTGGAATAACCTGCATTTACATAAAAATGTGTTCTATTATACGGTCTTATCTTCACCTAAGTTACAATAATCAACAAACACAATCCGTTTTTACTAATAGCACACAAGTTATTGTTTTGTTCTTGTACATTTTGAAAAATGTAGTTTGGAACCTTGGACTTCAACAAAAGCTAATCGAGTCACACCTCGTTTGAATCAGTGAAAACAAGATTAGAGGTTGTGGTTTGAAGCTATTTTGACTTATAATAACAACTCAAATATTTTGTGTTTTGCTATTAACAAGAAGCATCAGCTGAAGTGAACCATGCCTCACTCAAGATTTCAGAAGACCTATGGTCAAGAATTGTTGACTTGCATAAATCCGGAAAGGGTTACAAAGTAACCTTTAGAAGTTAAGGTATTTATCAATGCTTATATAAAAAGCAGCCAATTTACTACAGTGGCTGCCCAGCAAAGATTTGGAGCTGCTTTGCTGACTTGGGGCCTGGATAGTTTGCAATCATCAATAGAAACATGTATTCTCAAGTTGTGTTATGATATCCTCCAGGATAATGTCAGGCCAGAGGCCTGTACTACGAAAGCTGGTTCAACCTAACCTGGATATGTTGGAGTTTAGGCCAGTTTGACTTAATCCAAAACATACGCGCTCTCGCTAAAGCGGTCCCTACGACGCTGGTTATCAAGTGGATCGCTCAAGCCAGCCGTGTCCTATCTAGTTAGGTGCGCGTTCACATGAAAGGGGTGGTATTTGGAGCAATTCGACCAATCACAACATGGACAAGCGTACTGACAGCGCAAGCGTCATCACTTCCTGAATGAAAGTGAACTTAATATAGTCAAATATGAAGAAGTTAAACTTTAAACATCCATGACTTAAACACTTTATCCAGGATAAAAAGCCACATAGCTGCACCTGCAAGGTGAATACAGCTGGTAAAAGAAAAAGTGTTTGAATGCGTACATTAACAGGTTTATGAAATCACTGCCCCGTCCAAGACACGAGTGGATCTGATCTTTAATTAGGAGAATTTGAGCTCGAGTGTTTCATCAACTTAATGTGTTGCTTAAAATAATACTTCTGCATACAGTATGTGACACTGTGAGTGTTGCAACGGCCAGATACGGCTCAAGAAGCTGACTCAGATAAGGAAATATATGATACATTATGATGTGATATGATATGAATGATAATGGGACACATCGACGTCTGCACTCACAGTGCCGAGGACTGTACTTAATGTTACTCTGATCCGGTACTTATGTTCGTGGCAGATATTTAAGTAAGCTTTCTTAACGCTAATGTTATAATAGTCAGATTGCTCTGAAGATAGGAGGGGATATTCTATTCATTATTCACGTTCACACAGTCAGTTTGATTTTGCCGGCCGTCTTTCCTGCAACGGCAGTTTTTCTGTATTTCCTCTATCCTGTAATATGAATTTGATAGCTTTACAACTCCGCACACGGAGCTCTGATTGGTCAGCAGGCGGTGCTTTCACTGAGTTGATCTCTTAGCCTGCAACCTAACCTCCTCCCGAGGAGGTTTAGCCGCTCAGCATAAGTTACCATGGAGATCTAGGCCCGCTAAAAAAGAGAAACCAGCGTCGTAGGACCGGAAAGCCCGAGTTTTTCCCTGAAGTCAGCCGGCTAAGCGAAAATCCGGCTTCGTAGTACAGGCCCTCTGATGTCTGCCAGCTGAAGCTCAGCCGAGGTTGGGTGGTGCCGAAGGACAATGACCCTAAATATCAAGTGCTTGTTTGAGGTTATTAATGCCAAAGGAGGTTCGACAAGGTGTGTTCAATAAAGACATGAAAGATTAAGATGTGTGTGTGTTATTAACTTCACCTCATTTTGTTTAACTGTGATTTTGACTTAAATGAAGATCAGAAAACATTTGATGACAAATGTATGTATAAAACTAGGAAATTCCAAAGGGTTCGACATAGGGGACAGAAGAACACTGCATGGACTGCAGTTTAATTACTTTTGAAAGTTCTGCATAGGAATTAATGTCTACTGTTATTTTGTACAATGTTCTGAGAGGCCTTGTATTGATGGGACCTGTTTCTGCCCTATGACCTGCACATATGATCCTTTGAACCCACTTTTTTAGTATGGTGATTTCATTTATGTCCAATATTTCAGATAAGTTTCCTTAATATAATTTATTAAAAAATGTATATGATTGTTTATTAGCAATTGTTAACTCTTTTTTTTGCACGTGAACATTTTGAATTGGCACCTTACATTCCTGTCACTTTTCAAGTTTCCCCACTTTATAGATAATCTTTGTTTTATTGTTTATATCTTGTTTTATTTTAACTCCATGTTGTTTTGCAGCTAATTCACAGCAATTTCCTTTCTTCTTCAGTTTTATTTTTAATATCTTATTTAAATGTATAGAAACTTCAGATTCAGCTGACCTGTTGCGGACTATCTGAGCATTTATGTTTACCTATAATGAATCAGAATCAGAATCAGAATACCTTTATTAGTCCCACAGCGGGGGACATGTACATTGTCACAGCAGAAAAGAGCCAAAGACAGTTTAATGTTACCTCAAATAAAAAAATACATATATATATATATATATATATATTAATAATATGAATACCAAAGTATTTTCTCCTAAGAACTAATTAGTGATTTTTTGAAGTGTTTTTTTCCGATGATCAGAACACATTTTCTTTTAAATGTAAAAAGTCTGAAGGAAAGTAATTATCTCTAACCATCAAGTAAGAGGGAGAACTTTGATTGGAGTTTGTTCTACCTAACCCACAACATCGACATATAAAGTCCAGAAAAGATCCCGGTATGCGCTCTGTTGAACCAGTCACCAGGAGGAGGGCCCGGTCCTGCCAGAACCCTTCAGAGACTCACATACAAACTATAAAACCCTCTGCTGGTTTTGGTGGATGTACATTTTGTGAATTCCCCCCGTGTGACCCCTGAGCATCGCCCCGCGCTGCAGTACGAGCTGCCTTGCCAAGTTTCAGGCTGGCAGAACAAAGCCTGAGCTGTATTTTTAGATGGAACAACATGGCTACAGGTGGTGAGGAGTCAGAACTCAAGTCCTCCACTCCTACAAGATCCTCCGCGAAAAAGAAAGGCCTCTGCTGTCAAAAAAGTAAAAGATATCAGAAACGTAGGAGAATAAATAAAGAAATTAAAAATGCACTTAAAGTAGTGATATGTTTCTCGGTTGGCTTTTTGGGCACAGATAAGAATGTGGAGTTTTTTTATGTAGGTTGCAGTTGCCTAGACAAAGTTTTTAAGACCTTTATGAAGAAACACAAAACTATGAACACAGAGCGGAAATATTTTTAGGAGACTGAATTTCTCGACTTAACATTTTTATTCTACACATATTCGAGACCTTTCAGCAACTTTTAAAGTTGGATAATACGGAGAAAAAAAACATTGCATCCTTTTTATTACATTTTTTTCAAAAATGATTATAGACTTTAAGGCCAAAAGTAAATGAACCCCTGTCTACATAAACCGGCTCTGTTTTTCCAGCATACAGTGATATTTCTCTCTGCCAAGGAGGTTGTGTTTTCGCTTACGGGAAATCAATCAATCAATCAATGTTTATTTACATAGCCCAATATCACAAATGTTACATTTGTCTCAGTGGACTTCACAGTTTGTACAGAATATCAGTATGACAATACGACACCCTCTGTCCTTAGACCCTCACATCGTACAAGGAAAAACTTCCAAAGAACACCAACAGTTTAAAGGGAAAAAATGGGAGAAACCTCGGGGAGAGCAACAGAGGAGGGATCCCTCTCCCAGGACGGACAGACGTGCAATAGATGCCGTGTGTAAATCGAAGAGATAATACATTTTACAGCGTAGGTAGACCAA